AAATAGACACATTTTATATAACGCACTAATGATCAAGCGTCTCTGTGACGGGTAAAAATCAACGTTATGGCACATCTATGCTATTGCTGAGAAGATAAAAAGGATATAGTACATTTACTACGGCGGTGGTCAAATATGAATGAAATTCTTCTGATAATATGAAAATTTCATATGGATTTTTCAATATCACACAAGTATCAACCAGAGAAACCAAAAACCTATATGCAATCCAAATAGCTCTTATGGAGGGATTATGTTGGTTGCGGATTGATACGGTGTGTGATATAGAAAAAAAGCCTCATAATATACAATTTATCAATATGGTCCGGGGACACAGTTATCGTCCTTTGATTTTCGTTGTCTAATAGAGTCCCTAGTGTGGATATTGTATAACTTGCAAATTTTTTTTCATATACCTTCCAAATTTATTCCTTTATATTTTATGCAAAAAATAGTGAGTAGGGGGGATAAAATTACGTGTAAAAAAATTTGAGGCATGAATCTTTAGGTAAAGAAGGGATTTGGTCCAGTTTGAAAAGGTCAAAAATTAATATGTCTGAAGCTGTCAAACTGAATTACCGCCAATTACAGACCCCCTTAACATAAAATTATCCATATTTTGAGTTAGAGCCGATAGACTTTTTTATAATTTTAATATAATTTGTCCCAAAAGTAGTACACTACACTGTAAAAATCTCTGTTGGATAGAGCAGGTGAGATTTTTTTTTAATTTGCTCTTTTGGTCTAAAAGAAATGCACTACGAAATAACTATGTTCTACCTCCCGTATAGATATGACGTAAAACAGATACAACTGTGACTGATATCGGTATATCCTCCCGGATGACTGATACAGCACGATTGTCATTGATGGTATTACACATACAGTTCACTTGTTTTTACTTATAGGTATATAATAAAATATGATACATTAAAATTACACTATATATATATTATAGCTATCAACAAATCCAAATCCAGGATATCTATATAAAATGTTGTTACAGTATATATTTTAAATATTTTATCATAATAATCAAATTTTGACTGGGCAGCATCTTCAATGTTATTTGCTCGTCCTCGAGTCGCTATAATTGCTCGAAAGGTATTCCATGATCTGTAAAAACCGACGATTAGAACGTAACTGAAACTTTGAATATGTTTTTACAGACATTTTTGTTTATGTTAAATGTCACGCACACCCTTGCATGTCGGATTATTTCCTAGTAAAACAACACGTACGGTGTATAAAAGAAATGCCGACTTCTCTCATAATTCGTCGTGTTCAGGTTGTATAAACTCTTTGAATGTTATAAAATCGTCTTTATTCTTGTCATAATTCGGAAACATTGTTTTGGCAATTTCCAGATTAGCAGCTCCTGGTCGAGTTGCTTGCTTTACGAGATGAGTCACTAGCTGAAAAATAGTTTTATAAGACTATGTATAATCAATTGAATGACAAAAACATGACAAAGTAATTGAAAATCTAAATAAATCAAGAAAGATTGAAATAAAATTAATTCTTATCTTTTCTATCTTATATACATATAGATAATGAATACACCTGCTACCCTTGAAAAATTAAACAGTCTTTTTTCATTTCCAGCTCCCCCCCCCCAAAAAAAAAAAATAACAACCCCTCCAAAAAAACTGAATTTGGTACAACCTCAGATAATGTTGATATTAGAGAGACTTTGATATTCTTATGTTTTATGGCAGATTTTGGTAAAACACATAGCTCGCCAAGTATTATCAATCTTTACACGTCCTTCTTTTCATTCTGCATTTTCCTAAGAAAAAGGATTAAGGGAAAGTGCACACCAAACGTTGGATAAACATACAAACGAACAAACAGGCAAAGAAAAATTCAAAAACAGAAAAACAACTGTACGTTTTACTTTTGTTCCGTATGCTTTTTTATGCTAATAACACCAATTTCAAATGCTGAACACTTTCATATATTTTAATTATTAGGATGAACGAACGAGTTCAACATAGAAGAATTTAAATATTATCCCAACAATTATTCAAACCTCTTCTACGGGGATGGGATGAATTGACATATACTCCACATTTTTTATTCAAAATTTGCCATGACAAAAGTACTTTCATTAATAACAGTATTAATTTTAGAATTAAAACAGTACGTAGATTTGAAACAGTACTTAGAATAAAAACAGTGCTTAAAAATGAAAACAGTACTAAGAACTAAGACAGTACCTAGGATAAGAATAGTACTTAGAATAAAAACCGTACTTAGAAGGAATTGAAGCAGCACTCAGAATAAAATCTGTACTTATAGATTAAAAACGTTACTTAAAACTTAAACAGTACTTAGAATAAAAACAGCAATTAAAATGAAAACAATACTGATAACTAAAACAGTACACAAAAAGGTACTTAGATTCAAGACCTTTTCAACTGATTTTTATAGTTTGTTCTTATAGTGTGCTGTTACTGGGGAGTCTTTTGTATAGCCGAAACCCGCGTCAAAATCTTAAGCCTGACATTTATGATGAGTTTACACCATTGTTCCAGGTAAGTGGAAGGTTAGGCATACGCAAACATGTTAAAGCCCACCACATTCTGTATGTGTCTACCCAAATAAGGAGCCTGTAACTCAGGGGCTTTCATTTGTTGCTTGTTGTCATTTTGTATTTCAAATAAATCATAGCCGTTATTTTTACCTTTTGTTTTACATTGGTCCTGCCAGGGTCCTTTATAGCTTGCTATGTTTGCCTACTGTAGAAAGCCTTACGGGGACCTATAATTTTTAAGATCTACGTCATTTCGCTTCTGATGGATAGTTGTCTCATTGGAAATCATATCACATCTCCTTATTCAATATTAGAATTAAAGCATTACTTAGATTTAAACAGTACTTAGAATTTAAAGCAGTACTTGGAATTCAAACAGTACTTAGAATTTAAACAGTACTTGGAATTTAAACTCAATGCAGTACTTTACTTTCGGCAATAAGATTGATTGATTTTAACGTCCAGTGGCAAATATTTCCTGCATTTTCATTACGATCGGCCATAAGAGTAATGGGTGTAACATGTCAATCACATGATCAGTTTCATTGATTGTCAAAAGATTATTATTTATGACCCATAATATTATTAAGACAAGTTGAATCAAAGGACATTATTAAGCCTGTCTTGTATGAGGGTCTGACGGGGGTGTACAGAATAGAGAGAATGAATAATGGGCCAAGAAATAAGAAAAGTAGAGAAAAAAGAATAGAGAGAAAAAGGATCAACAAAATAAAAAATATATAGAAAATAATGGGGTTCTAAAATATGAAGTATAGAGAATTATGGGCACAAAATAAAAGATAAGGAAACAAAAAATGTCTAAAACAATTAACAAATACCCCCTCCCTTTCGCACAAAACCAGATCCTCTTGTATACAATAAGCATATAATTCCACATTAATTCCGGATAAGTCCATTGCATCTTTATAAACAAAATAAACCTTTGACCCAATATTCATAGTTCTCATGGGGCCTCGGTGCCCGAGTGGTCTTAGTAGTTGAACAACTTTATCACCAGCCTGTCAACACTGAGGTTGTGAGTTCGAATACCGCACATGGCAGGTGCGCTCGACTCTAGTATTAATGGACAAGGATTGTAAGTTTTCGTAGTGCTGAAACTGGCGTTAAACACCAATCAATAAATCAATCAATCATAGTTCTCAAGGTAATGAGAATACCAATAAGTATAAAAAGAAAGCAATTTGGGGTATTCGCAAGAGAGACCGTATCCCACTGACACACGATAAAAAATAACAACAGATGTCTTGAGGTCAACCTTCCACTAACCTGTGACATTTGTGTAACAGCACGACATGATAACAAACTATAAAAATCAGTCGAAAGGGCTTGAATTTTAGAACTGTTTTAATTCTAAGAACTGTTCGTAAAAAGACAAATGTTTTTCTTGAAAACTCACCTCATCAAAGTTGATCATTTCGTCCCCATTAGTATCGATCTTGCTAAAGATATCAACAGCTTCCTCCTTGTTAGGATAACCATTTTTACAACTGACAGATCCAATACAACCTAGCACCAATACCAAGACCAAATACGGTGTCATTACAAATACAAATTGTGTAATTGATAATTAATACAAACATCCAATACCTGGAATTTTAATGAAATCTTGCATACCGATGAGGTAATACAAATACACTACACTTAATATAGCCCAAAGTAAGCTATACAATGGCCTTAGATAAGATATCTCTTTCTAGAATGTACTTAATTAACTGAGATAGGCTAGCATTGGGAAATGCCTTTCCTAAACAAACTGTATTCCAGAGTGTTCAGTACAGAACTCACTCGTATTGTCTAGAGATAAGGTTCATATATTTGCATTTATGAAAACTTAATATGATCCTACACCCGGTTGATATTATGTAACTTATATTTTGACATTGCAAAAGGTCATGATTTTCTCAAACTTTTTTTTTGACACAAAATCCGTTGGATGTGTACTGATTGGTAATATTTAGTTTCACAGAACATGATTTATCTATTAGTTGTTATTGGCTTCTAACTAACTTTCAGTTACTGCGAGTACTGTAAGATTGGCAATTTGTGTATTTTGTCTTTTTTTATTTTGTGCCGATCTGATGAATCTAGCCATTTCTGGCTGATTTTTTCAGTTTATTCTTATGTTGTGCTGTAATACTATTTTCCAAGGTAAGCGGGATATATGAACGCTCACAAACATGTCTAATCCCGCCTGAGACAGGGTTCAGTACTGAACTCTCTCTTATTGATCAGAGAAAGTGATCAGTCCAGAACTCACTCGTATTGACCAAAGATAGTGTTCAGCATAGTGTGCGCTTTTCTTAATGCAAGCGGGATTGGATTGTCATTTCCTAAAATAAGTAAAATGCCAAAACACCATCACTGGTAAAGGACCTGTTTACAGCTGACGAGAACATCAATGCTGGTCTAAATAATTTAAAATGTATGAAATAAAACTAAAAGACACTGGGATATATTTTTTTTAAATAGCAATGATGATGATACTCTCATAACATCTATCAAATAAAAAGTGCAACTACAGGTAGCAACAGCAAATAACATTTTAAAAGACAGACGAGAATAAATTTTTGAGGTGTTTTCTGCTATCTATAGCTCGTATTTTATATAATGTATAAGATATTGAGTAACTATACATAATCACCATATGTATGAGGGTCTGGATGGCGGGGTACTTCTTTTCTGAATTCTTTAATATTTCGGTCCATTTTTCTCTATTCTTTATACTTTTTGCCCATTAGTCTCTATTCTTTATATTTTAGCACATCCTTATTCTCTGTTCTTTATTTTTTTTGTACATTTTTCTCTATTCGTTATACTTTTTGACAATTATTCTCTATTCTGCAAACCCCCATCCACACCCTCATGTATTGTCCAGTATTTTACAATTAATGTATAACTGTCGCCTACATAATCAAATGTCTATAATTATTCAAATGTTAGTGTTCAGATGAACAAAAACTTCAAACTTTTGAAATTATAATTCATCATGTGGTAGAAATTCTTGCAGTGTAACAACTCCGTCTTTATTCTTATCATAATAGTTGAAAATAGACTCCGCCATTGATTCGTGGTCTGCTTCAGGTTCCTGTTTCTTGGTTTCAATATGTTTCACAATCTGAAATAAAGACCATTGGTATCAAAGATATATTATATAATAATCAGTTTTATCAATGTATACATGTAGCATATCGTATTATTAAAAAATCCCCAAGATATTCTAGTTTATTTTAAAGATGTTCGCTACTAAGTTTTTGACTTTTTTGTCAGATATTCGGAATCCTCTAGTTTTATCCATGTAGTGCCAATAAAGATTTTGCCCGCTAACCCCTACTTTTCTTTTTATAATTCTATAACATATAGTTTAATAGGCCATTTTTGAAAATCCTATAAAATCCTTGTTATTTTTTCATAGTTTTTGAGTTATTTTGAAACAGAGGAGCAAACATCATTAATAACTTTTTTCTGTAACATTTTAAATTATACTGTAAGTTAACAGTCGTTTGTCTAAATTCGCAAGAAACACACAAACTATATCTAAGTTTAGCAAAAAGCAAAATCACAAAAATACTGAACTCCGAGGAAAATTCAAAAAGGAAAGTCCCTAATCAAATGGCAAATTTGCCATTCTTACATCTTAATTATTCAGGACGAGAATATGTTCATGTAATAATATAAAAATTAACCCTACTTAGTACTAGACTGATACGCTGATCCGGATTTTTAACGTGCCCGTTTACAAAGTAACAGATCGCGGTAAGCTATGACAGATTTGACACCCTACCCGGACACATTATTCTTCTTACGAACCAGTCTTTACTCTTACTCCTAAATGCTGCGTGTTTAGCGGAGAAGCAACAAATATATCAATTTTAAAGTATTTGATTTGACCCGTCCGTGGCTCGAACCCATAACCTCCGGTATTCGACAATAGGACCAAACTGGACAATAGTTTTGTATGGCGTTTTCATGCAACATGGTTGCGATGATTATATGAGAAATTATGTTCAACATGTTCATGAGGGTGTGGAAGGGGGTTTACAGAATAGAGAATAATGGGCAAAAAATATAAAGAATAAAGAAAAATAGAATAAGAATACAGAAATGAAGGACAACCTCCCCCCCCCCCCCCCCCATGTAGACCCTCGTTAATAGGATAAAATGAAAAAAAGAAAAAAAGAATATTCCCAAACTTCCCATTTACAACTCGGACCTATTCAATTCTGTGACTTAACTAATAACTTACTTCTTGTAAAGTTGCCTTTCCGTCACCATTGGTATCAATTTCCACAAAACCATTTCTAATTTCTGACATTTGAACCTTTTCCTCACTGGTCACTGCAGTGCTTAATATTGTTAACACTAAGACAGTCGATAACAATGCCATTTGAAATACTAGTAAAATTATCGTCTTGGTCGACAAATTAAAGAATCAAAAAAAATATTTTGACAAAATTAATTGTCTTCAAAAATTCCTTAATAGAAATGGATCAATCTTTAAACACGTGGAAGAATTACACTTCAAATTTTCTTATCATATTCAAGATGGTAACGTAATACGTCTATCTTCAAAAGGTCATAACTTATCAATGGAATTTATAATTCAGATATGCAGATGGAACAAAGGTCCTTTTACTACTTCTGATTGAATTGTACTATTTATATATAGAGTATCGGACTCCGAAACAATGGTCAGGGGCGGATCCAGCCATTTTTAAAAGGGGGTTCCAACCATATGTCCCTATTCAAAAGCATTTATCGTCAAAAATGGGGGTTCCAATGGCAATTATCTCGTCTGTCCAATATATGCGACGTACGCCGCTGTTTCGGAGTTTGATAGCATCCAATCACAAACCATAGTTCAGCCCTCGTTTCAATAGAGGATATTGAAAATTAGTCAGAACTCTTTATTTTTCATGATATCGATAAAAGGAGAAATTCGATAAATGTCACAAGACAGCAACCCATTCACCAAAAGAACAATGACTTCTTATTTGCAACATACGACATAGGAAGGTACATGTATATTTCATATGTCAAATTCTATATATGACACCAGGACCAAAGTCTCAAAAGTAAAAATAAATATAAAAATAGATATTCCAAAATAAAAAATATGATAACGACAAACACTGGCGAGGCTCCTGAATTGGGACAGGCACATGCACATGTAGTAGTATTAAAAAATTAGTTATTGAGCACCCAAACTTCTTTTTTATTTTCAATCTGATGAATAAACTTGCAATCAATTAAAGTAGTGCAGAAGGGCGCTATCTTTTATAATGCTGGTAATATAAAGCACAAAAACACAAGTGCAATAACATCAGATTAGATCTTATTCAAATGACAGTTGATATAATTATGTATAAACAAAAACAAGATGAAAAGAACATCCTTTTAATGTCAAGCTGTCAATGTTGGATATAATCTGTAAAGTGCGCATGTCTTTCGAGTTCAGTTTTCCAAATACACGCACTCATGCTTTAAATGCGGTTCCAGCTTTGTGACGTTTCAATATTACAATTCATCATGTGGCAAAAATTCGGACAAAACTATATGACCATCTTTGTTTTTGTCGTAAAAGGTAAAAATAGATTCTGCCATATTTTTGTGATCCGACTCTGGTATTTGTTTCTTCTTCTCCATGTAAGATGTAGTCTGAAATTAAAGACGGGTCTCAATAAATAAAAGGCAACAGTAGCTTACAGTTGTTATATAGATAAGAGGGAATCGTAAGATTCCTAAAGGAACTACAGGGGCGGATCCAGCCATTTTAAAAAAAGGGGGGGTTGGGGGGTTCCAACCATATGTCCCCATTCAAATGCATTGGTCGTCAAAAAAAAAGGGGGGGGTCCAACCCCCAGACCGGGTGCGCGTTAGGGTAAACGTCTCCTGCGATGCACGCATCACTCGCCATGCGAATCCAGAATCAGGCATTTTTGACAAATTAAGTATTAGACTTTCATTAATGCAATTTCGACAAATTTTGTTTCATAACAGGTAGTTAAAACAAGCAATTGAATCAAAAGGTCTTTTGTGTTTTCCTTAATGAAAATGATATTTATTTATTTTTTTTGTCTTTTCCGTTGCTAGGACAAACTCTTCGTTTTTGTTGTTATTGTCTGGTGATTTCTGTACCGTGTCGCTTTTAAATGGCTCCCGCGATCTTAATCTCTTACATTTAAATTCGAACCAATGAACCATTTTAATAAAAATACAGAGAAAATCGTGACTTGGAATTTTTATAATAGATGTCTACAGATCATATATATACCACAGTCGGTTAAAAATGACGAAATTATAAAGTAAAATTGAGAGAAAAATTGTGCATATGCAGTGAAATAAAGGGAAAATATAACAATAAAATGCAATAACACTAGAACTATGTGCACCGAAAAAGGTAGTATACGTTCATATAATTTGTTTTTATCCTTCAATCAAGCATATATAGTTCAAATAACAGTTCTGCTATATTGTGTACAAATAGAGACAAACAACAGTCCACAAAAACTGAGCAACAGAAACAAATCTGCTGTATACGATAGCAAAACAATGGTATTGAATGGCAATCGGGAACACAGCTCCTTTAAGTTTGTATCTGCGTATAATTGATAGCCGGTTAGGGAGCTACCATATGATTTTTAAGTGTGTGTGTGTGTGTGGGGGGGGGGGGGGGGGGCTAGGATGAACAATTTTGTCCTGCCTTTTTTTTAGTTGTAATCTCTGTCCTGCCTTTTTTTTATTAGTTTATCCTGACTTTTTTACATAAATTGTCATCCTGCCTTTTTTTTTGGCCAAGTTGCTCATCCTACCTTTTTTTTTTACTCAAAACTCCTGTCATGCCTCAAGTTTTTTCAAATTTCATTCTAGCCCCCCATAAAATCAAATGGTAGCTCCCTAATAGGTGTGTACCTCGAAAACAAACACAATTGATCCGCTCAGTCGCTGAGTTTATACATACAATAAAAAGTAGAAGAATATAATTAAAGACTAACCTCTTGTAGAGTCACCTTCCCGTCACCATTAACATCCATTTCTTTAAACGCACCTGTGATTTCTTTCATTGGAATTTTTTCTGAACAATATACCATAAAACATAATGTTACCAAAACTACAATAGTTTCTTTTATCATTTTTGCTACTTTGCTGTCAACAATCAACGCAAAAAATAATTCAAAAATTTAAATAATAATGATGAAAATAAAATCTTAATGGCATAGGTAGAAAAATTCTACGACAGGAACTGATAATGTGTGGGAATATACATATGGGTCAAGTTCACCGAGACCGTTTTCTTATCTTATTTGATGTCCGTACTAAGTTGTTGGAAATATGATTTATAATAAATATGTACTATCAAATGTGTACAGGTGGACTCACTAAGGCACCTAGCTGCTTTTCATTATTTGTGTTTGCGTGTGTATGAGGGTGTTTTTTTTATCAACTGCATATCTAATTGTTTTTAAATAAATTGATCGATCTGACAGAAAAATAACTAATTTTTTTTTTGAAAATTAACAACAACTAATAACAAGCGTTCACACGCCGAAATTTCTCGCCTGCTTTACTGACCATTGATTTTATGTTGAGTCTTACATGTAACGATAAAGGTTTTACAACAATTTTAAAGATACATAACGATGAGGATAAGGTCAGATAAAGTCTGTCAAAAAGACATGTACACTTTACGATTATTCCATACACCAAATATAGTTGACCTATTGCTTATGGTAATTAAAAAACAGACCAAAACACAAAACTTAACATTGACCAATAAACCATGAAAATGAGGTCAAGGTCAGATTATTCCTGCCAGACAGACATGACACCTTACAATCAGTCCATACACAAAATATAGTTGACCTTCTGTTTATGGTTTTTGAAAAGCAGATCAAAACAAAAAAACTTAAAATTGACCATGCAATAATCAATGAAAATGAGGTCAAGGTCAGATTATACCTGCAAGACACACACACATAACATTGACCAATGAACTATGAAGATGAGGATGAGGTCAGATGATACCTGCCAAGACAGACATGAACACCTTACAATAATTCCATACACCAAATATAGTTGACCTATTGCTTATAATATTTGAAAAACATACCAAAACACAAACTTAACATTGACCAATGATCCATGAAAATAAGGTAAAACTTACCAGACTGACATATACCCCTTACAATCATTCCATACAACACATATAATAGTTGACCTTCTGTTTATAGTATTTGATAACGGACCTAATCTTACAATTTGACGAAAGGTACTTACGCTTGAGGAATCATACGAAAGACCCGTTTGAGGGATCCTTTGTTTTGACTTTTGATTTCTTTTATGTATACCATGGGATTTAGATGGCGTTTCGCCTCTATGTTTGCACATCAAGGACCATTACACTGCATGCAACGACATATATCAAACTTGAATTTTCATGCGACATAGGAATGTTGTGACGTACGATGAAAAAATTAAAGAAAAACAAAGATGAAGGAGATAACTCATCAAAATTTGCTCAACACAGACTCGTCAGAAAAAAAATACTCCTTACAAAATTGTGTTCAACTACCCCCCCTCCCCCCGCAAAGAAAAACACTTCTTAGCATTATTTAACCTAAGAAAATACGATTGCAAATATAAGATCCCACCGCCAAAAAAAAAAGTAAATACAAAATTACTTCCTAAATTGTAAATTTGGAAACCCTCCAAATATAGTAAAATTGCAAAAAATTACACCCAAAATATATTACGGGGCTGGCTTAATCCATCTTCGCTAGCCAAGGGTTACGATCCGCTTCCCTCCTCTCCACCCTTGGCAGATTAAGCCAACATTTGTGATAACAATGTTGCGCCATCTATCGGTAGATCAAAGTCACGACCATTCCGAATACATTATTCTTGACCAATGGCAGCACTTGAACTCTTTAATTTGGAGGTAAAACACGGTAGCGTCTAGATTCTACACACTTGGTAAAGCAGGAAACGAAAATATACGTTGACATTCATGCATTTGTGCAAGAAACATACACAGGAACTTCTATTAATTGATTAAAAACATTCAAATTGTCACTAAATATAGTCGTATGTTTAGGGATGTAAAGACTTGTTACACAATAAGCACGTGACAATTGTTTACATTCTACATTTACACGTGATCATGTTATAGGCGCTTTTTGATTGGATGCAGCGAGTTTCGACTGCAACCAATGAAAATCATTACCTTGTGTCTCCGAAATTCTATCTCAAACCGCCAAGGGTGGAGAGGAGGCAAGTGGATCGTAACCTTTGGCTAGCGAAGATGGCATTGATGTAGATGATCATCAATGTGTTGGTTGGTTATTTTCTCAGCTGAGTGTGAGGGTATGTGTGTTTATTAATTGTCCCCCTGGAATTGACACTGTATTTTATATATTCGCTCGTGTTCTGTGAATTCTAAGTGCATCACTGATTGGTCCACAATCAATAAACGATTTTAAACCCATTGACGACGTTTAAGAGAATCTGATCAAATCAGTCGTGCGTCTAGCATTAACTAAAGATATAATGATTACTAGTTGAAAACAGACTAAAAAATAGGATTTGGGGAATACGAAGGCAACGACAATTTAACTTTCAGGGAAGAGAGTTTAAGTTTTTATTCCGTTTTACATTTGTTTCATGCGATCGCAAGTGTCGCAACATTTTCTGTTTAACCTTTAAATTTAAATAAATGTAAAAAAACATTTTTTCATTCATTGTAGTTCATTTGTCTTGCAAATTTCGATGATACACGTTGATAATTTGTTGATACATTCACAAATGAAAAATAATTATGAATTTTGTCGTTAAATTTAGAGTATCATACTGCAAGAATGTCATTAAAATGTTAAAGGGGCACTAGCTACGAGATATATATAAAAAAAATTTAAAAATGAAAGTGAAATAGTGGAATAATAATTCGCTTTTAGCAGCCAGTATGGTTCAATTTTGTCAAATTAAGCTAAGAAACATTGATGCTTAATTATTCACTTGCAAGTGAATAATTCGATTTCATTGAATTCGTATTCATGTGAACTTCAATTTAACCCCTTACCTAGAGATGGATAACACATACAGTGTGCGTGTTCGGTTATTTAAAGGAAAAGAATGTCAACATTGAAAGTGAAACAAAGGTAAATCATTTGATTGACTGATTCGATCCACAAAAAAATCATTCTTATACAGGTAAAAACGATGATTAACATATAATTTTAATCTATAATATGAAATTAAACAGACCTAGAAAAAACCAACTGCACGTGTTCGCTTTGTATTTATATCTATATTTATGTTTATAACGCTTATATGACCATCGGAGGTATTCGGAGGTCAACACGATAGTTAATTAGATGGCGTCAGGACTAAAATACGCACGAAACGAAGCTACATATTATCGAGCCCATGCCCTGTGAATGGTTTATTTTAGTCTTTTTATAATTTGGATAAATGTTTTACATGGTTAAAAATCAAATGTGAAAATTTGAGTCATATCGGTGAACATGAATTTGACAGCTAGTGCCCCTTTAATGGTATAAACAATTTCAAAAAGCATGCTTGAACAGTTCCCGCGCCAATGTGTGTAATCGTGGTTAACATAAATTAAAGCAACGTATCGGACGTAAGTGTATATATATAAAACTATTTTTCTTTATTGTCAGAAATTAAATGCGTGTTTTTATTTATTTGCGATATACTTAAATTTTTAATATTATACATTTCATTCAGAAAAGAATTCCGTTTTACCGGATAAAACATAGACTACAGTGTTATTGTGGGAATGTAATACATGCTCCCTTTACGTTCGTTCGTACCTTTCCTCAAAATCTAAGAAAGCTCTAATAAGTGGGAAAAAACAATATTTTTTTCTAACAGTCTCTGAACCATGAAAATGAGGTCAAGGTCAATGCACTAATGACAGACTGCAAACTTCGCAACATAAGGTATCTGCATACAAGGTATGCAGCATTCAGGTCTTTTGCCATCTGAAATATAAAGGTTTATACAATTAGTTTACATCGCCGCTGGGGCCGCCGGAGAGTAATCCCCATGTTTCGCATACTGCGACTTTTTACTGCGACAAAAGTCGCAGGTAAGACAAAAAATATTTTGAGTTTCAAAAGAAAATCTTGTTCCTGTATATATGTTATTGGTAAAAATAGTTTTTATTTTATCAAAGACTTTGTTTGTCCTGAGAAAAAAACCACGACCCCTCATTCAAAATAAATGGTTGGCACCTTAGTATTATTATCATAATGATATTATCCGATTTCATAGAATGGCTTTTTTGTCCCTTCTTGGTAGTGCTGTGATCGGTTTTATCGATCAAATTCTCTCCGTCTTTCATATAAAAAAGTATATTAGCCAAGTGTGTTTAAAAAAAAGTAGCATAACTTCATATGACATGTTATGTACAGTTAATTGTTGATACTATGTCTGGATATATATATATAATATATATATATATGTAAACGTATTGTCTTTTATTTGTGATTATTATGCATTGGTTGCTTTTTCTGTTGTTCCTTTTATCATTTTGACATTAACGTTTCTTAATAACATCTATATATTTCAAAAGTATCCCCTTTTTATGTACCTCCGCTGTTGCTGTTAAAACTGTTGTCGGTGAAAACCTCTGATTTTACATTTATCTTCCTGTTCATTCCCATACAGTTACTTATTTAGAAAAAAAAATAGTTTCCTTCTTTCCATCCCCTGTTGCAAAAACCTCTGTTGTCTAGTGCTCGCCTCGAGTGTGGGAGGATGTTGGTTCGATCTCCGGTCGGGTCAAAATAAACTCTTAAAATCTGGTATTTGCTGCTTCTCCACTAAGCACGTTGCATTTCGGAAAGAGATCAGACTGGTCTGATCGATGTCAGAGAAATGTGTTTGTTTAGGATGTCACGTCTTCCTGTGAACGTTTACCTTGTGAACACGCTAAAAATATGACTCTGTGTGTCAGTCTAGTACACAGAGAGCTCGGAATCCTATATATTAACATGTTCTTTCCAGCTATGCATGTAATATTTTTTAACTTGAAATGGGAGGCTTGCCGAGAAAATATCACTGTCAAGAGCGGAAAAATATCTCATTTTATTGAGATAGGACAAAAATGTAAAATTGCAAAACCTGTTTCTCTAATGATTTTTAGACGATATGTCGCTAGCTTTATCTTTATTTTTAAATGATCTGCAGAGTTGTAAATAA